CCCCCCAAAAAACCCCCCAACTCGATGCTGTTTCGGTGTTAACAATGTCTGATTGACAGACTATTTCATACCTGAAAAAACCACTCTGCCGCGATACAGCTGCCTTAAAACGGACTGGGTTGAGATGGATGAATTGTGGCGCTAAGTCAACAAGCAGAGGCGCTTCTTGCCGAAGATATCTTTTCATAAATTGCAGTGCCTGGTATACTTTTTATTTTTGACTTCATTGCGAGTAACAACTTAACAGCAGTGTCGGCTAGGGCCACAAACGGGGAGTAATAATTTAGTTGCGCTATCTTTAAATAGCGCAAAACATCAAAAATAATTTTTGTAGAGGATGTTGAAGTTTCAGCCGGCGTCAATACCGCTGAGGCTCACTTGATGGATATTATGTGGCTAAGAGCTTCCATGCTTTCTGAGGCACGCTAGCGTTGTATGCTAAATTGGGCATTCGGAAAACATGTAGAGCACGCTACAGTATCATGAGATTATGTACTAATTTTAAATATAATCCACCCCGCTTTTCTTTCTTCATTAAACGAGAACAGGGCTATGGACTTATTTCCTTTCGATTTCTCAATTTCAACCGTTGTTATAGCTTACAAAACTTGACAAGTCTCATTTTCAATTTTCCAAGATTTGGGCGGGGAGATTTGTGATAGTATCCCCTTCTCCATTATTGTGCAGGACAATTTTCCGTGGGTTCAAAGCATATTCAGCTAATGGTTTTTAGGAGAAGCAACCCAATCATCGAAGTTTGGCCTGGTCTGGCACAAATATTGATTCTGGGCAGTCTTCTATGCCGCTGAGACTTGATGGATACTATGCTGCCTTCCCAGCAATACAAGCCTCATACGGTTACGTGGATCTTCTCGAAGTGTGTATGGCACACTTCCACTCCAGTTTATTGATCAAATTTATAATCCTCTATTTTTTTGACCGTCCTCTAGAGTTTTAACAGTCCGCTTGATTGCTTCCCAGCCGCTTCGAACCTCACTGACTTCCCAGAGAGAATAAAATCTGGATATTCGAACTCGCCCCCTGGGTTACCTCCACCAACCCGCCATGCGCCGCCATCGACAGGCAACACAACGCCGTTCACATAGTCTCCAGCATGGCTAAAAAGATAGACCGTGGCATCTGCAATGTCCTTGACCGTCCCAGCTCGTCCTAACGGAACCCGCTTACTTGCAAACTGTGGAGTCACTGATAGTCTTGTCATCCCTTCGGTCCCCTCGACAGGACCGGGAGATATGACATTTGAGGTAATGCCATACGGCCCGTATTCAATCGCTATATTGGCAGCTAAAGCGTCCACACCGGATTTGGCAACGGCGACATGGGTTTGCAACTGAGCACCTGTATAATGCATGGTGGCCGAAATATATATAATGCGACCGGCTGGTGTTGATGTGGAGGAAGAATTTCTTTTCTTTGCCGCGGCCATCAAATGTGGTAAGGCAAGTTTTGTGACGTTAAACGAACCAAGCGTGTCGATTTCAATAACTGTCCTGAAAGCGTTGATAGACAGCTGTGATATGGGAGCTAGGAAATTTCCTGCTGCACCGGCACTATATAGAATGGTTAGCAAGCACTGACTGGAAACCATACGAGAAGCACATGCTTACATCAAGAAGTCAATCCCACCAAGCTCTTCGACACACCGATCGATTGCTCTCTGTAAACTTTCTGGCCTTCTCACGTCCACATTACCGATACCCAGAACTCTACTACTTGGCCTTGCCGTGGCAATGTCCTCCGCGGCAGTTTCCGTTTTCTGACTATTGCGACCCACAATACATGCATCAGCGCCTAGATACACGAGGGCACGTACTTGGGCAGAGCAGATGCTGCCGTTTCCCCCTGTGCAAAATACAATCCGGTCTTTGAATAATCCGTCCTGCCACACATTGGAGAGATAATCAGACCGATCAAAGGTCATTCTGAAGCAGGCGTTCTGGATAAGAACGAAAGTTGGCGAATAGATCGAACTGGTGCACGAGTAGGCGGAGGGAGGGGGTTCATATACAAAATACTTCGTTGCCCAGAAAGTCAAAATTCTGAGTGCGGCCCTCTTTTACCTTCAAGCTGACTTCGCAATGTACATACATTACCGAGACATGCACCAGAAATCTTGGGGTGGCCCCACTGTTTTAAACGTAGTGCCTAATCTAGACGAAGCCAAACTTAAAACTAGTCACGTATTCAACCTCAGTAAGCATTATGTGAGCGATGCCAAGTCCGGAATAATTCGTCAGACGAACAACTCGATCCGCACTCACCTAGAGGCGGTCGCCTCATCAATGGAAATCAACACATATGATTGGTTGCCGCTATCAGCGGGTCGTCGCGTGGCCTGCAAAGTCTTTCAAGAAACCTCATGGCATGGGTCGGGGGTGTGTAGCCTAGAGGCCAGTTCCACAGTGCAAAGGAAGCACATGAGTATGGAAGCGAAACCTTACGGCCGTATGAACTGAAGTGGATCCAACCAGTCAAGGAGGAGCTAATGGAACGAGAGCGAAGTGGATCATACGTGTGCATCAATGAGATGGATAAGAGGTTTGAGCTACAAAAAGAATTCTAACTGGCAATTTAGATGGGCTCAGATACATGACTGATCTTGGCGGGAGATAGTAATTCAACCCCGTTCTTCAACTCTTACCATGGATTCTTCATATACAGCTATTGAACAGCGTATTCAAGTTGCCTGCAAGGCTGCCAGAGCTCGAAAGAATGCCAAAATCACCTTGCTGGCGTGCGAACGTTTCAATGTCCTTGCTGCGGGCGCCTCTCTAAGGTCGGCAACCTCGTGCGCAGCGTACCACCACCAAGCGCCTGGATGTCTCACAGGAAGCAACATTGATTGGCTGGATCGATGCTCTTGATGCTCTCTCTGTTCCCCCACATTGCCCGTTGAACCGAGTGCGAATGCATGATTCTGAGAGGTACCGAAGCGATTGGAAATATAGTAGCACCGATCGGTAAGATGCGGGTGAACGGACACATCAAGCGCCTACCTCATGGCCATTATCGGGTAGAATAAAAGCCAGCGGAGAAGGAGGGATTGAGATCAAAGATATTAGTACCCTACAGGCCTGTTATCGTCTTGAGCAATTTGTAAAGCGTATCCTGTCCTCTAACATACAATTTCGACGAGACTGGCTTCCGGCTTGGTCAGGAAAAGCCCCAAAGTGTTATTAGCCGTAACAAACAGCGTACGAGGCTACTATCGAGCGATCGAGATAATTTATTGTCTTGAATAGAGTGTTTAGCAGCGAAAGGATGGCTGATGGAGCCATAGTTCGTGGCACCAAGCCTACTGCATATCGAACGATGGCATGAAGGCGGAACAGTTTCGTACCGCAAATCGCAGTATCACCGTCTGGCTATTCGAATGATGCCCACGCCGTCAATGGGTTTATTTCTTCCAGATAACACACACGTAACCGTGCTTGTGGTGGACCGCGAAAGAAAATAAAAGGCCTATCAAACCCGCGTTTATCGAGGTATACAAGCAACTCTACAGCATCTACAGCGGAGCATCCTGAGTTCGAAGCCATCACTGGACAAGGAACCATTCTGCCGGTTTTCCAACTGTTCATAAGTTCATTCCTTAGCAGATTCCCAGACTTATGTCACTTGTGGAGGCCCTCAACGACACAACACAAACAGATGTTGAAGATTCATCCCCATTGACTATCCAAGTAGGGTTTTCTTGCAAATTGGCGTTGCAGCTGAAGGCGGAGAAGTAGGTTTCAGGTCTCAAAGATATTCAAACTCGTTGAAAATCACTACGATTTCTAGCCACTATTGACTAGCTTGTCGCAACATCAAGTGCTCCTCATCCCCGTCAAAGGTTTCTCCACGATCAAACACATTGTTCAATGAAAGCGCCAGCTCCACAATGGCTGGAGGATAAGCATTGCGAAGGTACGCCTGCATCATATCTAGACCATTGGTAGCTTCGGTACTTGTCCAGACATTCTCGTACCGAACGTATCGTTTCTTCTGCCACAGCACTTGAGAAGCAGTCTTCTTCATCAATGGAAGCATAAGCCTAGGACATGCTTGTTGATATCTACGATGGTAGACGATGGTATACAATATGTAAATTGTTATAGAGTTTCTGTACAAACTAGGAAAGATGACTGACTATATAGTAAGTAACTATAGGATGGCGAGCCTATGGCATCTAAGAGATAATAAACACCCCCTACAATTAATGCTATATAAATCGTTCAAAAAGAATCCCCCTATAGTCCTTTCCTATATAAAAAATAAAGCTATTCAGCTTCTAAAAAACCTTTCTTTAGGTATTAGGACGTAGTCCTAATTAATCAATAAATCGCCGGAATGCTATTACTTCTAAAGGCTTTATAAAACTATTAGTGGCTTATTCCTATATAGGAATATATTTAAATGTTACTAAGCCTAATAAGACTTCCTATTATAAGAAATAGTATTATATAGTAATATACTTAGTTCTTATATAGTATTCTAGGTTCTTAGCGAGCGTAATAGTACTAGTATTATTAGTATAGATAATAACTAGCTTTTATAATAAGTTATAATCTTATATCCTTAATTTATTAAGTAGTAAGATTAACTAGCGCGCTTCTTATATAGCTAATACCTATATAATATACTTAGACTTAGTTAATAAGAGAGTAATATAAGCGTACTTCTTGAATACTTAGGAAATAGGTCTACTAATAAGGTAAAAGATAAAGCTAAAAGTAGAGATCCTATTAGTAGAGTAAGGACTAATATAGTTAGTATTATAGTAATTATATAGAGTAGATTAGTAATTACTTTTAAATTAGATATAGTAATTAATTATACCTAAAAGGTAGCAGAATAGATATTTAAAAGCCTATTTATACTACTAGCTAAGATTTCTAATATACTTAGTAAGCTAGATAGTAGTATAAGAGATATTACTATAAGTACTAACTATTAACTAAATGATTTTACTAACTTATTCCTAATATAGCTTATATTTAATAGGTATAGCTTACTCTATTATAGGAATAAGTAGTTCTTTCTTATTAAAAGGAGTTAAAACTAGCTTATTATACTATATACTATATTAATAAAATATTATAATAATAAACTTCTTTTATAAGAGTCTAATTAAGGATCCTTTTTAGATAACTTTAATACCTAAGTATTTAATAACTAGGCCTTTATTAGTAAGGTTAAAATATTTTAAAAGCTCTATAATAAAAGCTATAATAGCTTTTTTAGAAGGAATAAGAATTAAGATATTATTAATATATATTAGGATATAGATTAAAATTATTCCTTTACTTAACTACTTTATAAAGATAAAGTAGTTAATATATATCTTTTAAAAGTTAATTAATAAAAGAGTATTATATAAAAGTATATACTACTCTTTTAGGCTTTATTTTAAACTATAGACTATTCTTATTAATAGTCTAATCTTATCTTTAAAAATTAAAGTAAGTCTTATAATCTTCTTAATCTTAGAGGTAATCTATTATATATTACTAATAACCTAATTCTTAAGGAGTTTAATATAAATAGCCTCTTTAATATCTATATTAAGAAATATAGTTTTAATATCTAGGTAGTATAAGAACTAATTTAATATAATAATAATAATATAAAAGACTTTAAAAGATATAAGCTTAATAATAATAGTATATACCTTATAAAAGTTAATATCCTTAATCTAATTAAAACCTTATATAATAAGATAAGCTTTATATTAACTATTATCCTTTTTAATATTAAAAACCTAGTATAAAGTTAATAGCTTATAATTTATCTTATTAGACTTATAGTTAATAGCTTTTTATATACTATTTTTAATTTATATAGTAAGCTCTTTATAAGTAGCTTTAAGCTATTTCTTTTACTCTATATAGTTTATAGTATTAACCTAGCTATTAGGTATATAACTAATATCTTTAAAAGTAAGTTTATTAGGCTAAGAAACCTATTTATCTTTATTATATATAGTAAAGAATACTAAAAGTATAACTTTATTTAAAGTAAAAAAAGCTATTATATAAGAATCTATTATACTATAAGTAGTAAGATACTTAAATATAGTATAGCTAGGTTTCTAAATCTTTAATAAATAATAAAGACTTTAAGTTAGTAGTTCCTAAAGAGTAACCTATTCTTAACTAGGTAGTTAAATTACTTTATAAACTAGGTTTAGTAATAATAAAGGAACTAATAATACTAGATCTTAATCTAGTAAATTACTAATCTATAAAGGATTATCTTAGGTATCTATAATAATAAAGTCCTCCTTTAAGATTTCCTTTAGCCTTACCTTAATTTATATCTCTACTTTAGTATTATAACTATTATTTATTTATTTAATTAGTTTAGTAGGGGGAGGGGTTTAATAGGTATTAAAATATTTAGTAAGAATAGCTAATATTAGTAGGTTAATAAATTTAAGCGGGATATATTAAAAATCTAGCTTTAAAAACTACTTACCTATATTTAGATTATCTAAATACTTAGGTAAAGAAATAGCTAGTATTTTATTAAAAATAATATCTTAAAAAATAATAATCTTCTTAGTAAAGGTTAGACTTCCGCAAAGCCCAACTTTGGGCCCAAGGTCCGGGCTCGAAACCCGACCTGCAACGAGCTAGGGGTCGAACTTTTTAAGCTCGACCTAGACCCCGGCTCGAAGGGGGGGGCTTGTCGGGCCCCCCCCCTAGGCTCGAAATTGTATAAAACCATGGTCTTAGCGTTTATAAAGTGGCTGAATCACCTAAATAAATGACCGTCTTTTACCTATATTTTGGTTTATATATACAATTCTCCTCTATT